AGTATTATATAGTATTAAGTTATTAACTATATAATCAAAGCAGAGTACTATGAGTCTATGAGTATAATATACATACTATAAAAGCTCGAATTAGTTAATAGTTAATCAAAGCTGGAATTAGTTAATAGTATTAACTATAAACATATATATATTTAACTATGAGTATTATATACATACTAATATACTAAAAAATCACAAAGCAGAGTACTTTGAGTATTATATACATACTAATATACTAAAAACTCACAAAGCAGAGTACTATGAGTATCATATACATACTAATATGCTAAAAACTAAAAAACCAGGTTACTATGAGTATTCAGCGTCGAGTGAGGAAAGCTAGGAGAGTGAATAGCGAGAATGGCTAGCGATGATAGTTGTAGTGTCTTGACTCTTGCGCAAGTTTTACATGGGGTTTACATAGTTTTACATGTAGTTTTACGTAGGTTTAACTTTCTTTACCCTATTGTTTTCATGGGCTGTGTGCTATTAAAGATATGGGCTAATTGTTTTTCAAAGTTTTAAACCCAAAAAAGGCTGTTAGCCTTTTCCGTCTCAGGCAACCCAGGCGTGCACCTCATAGCGCTTCAGCGCTTCCTGCGCTTGGGCTGCGCCTGACCCTGGTATGCGCGCTTCTCCTATTCTCAGGCGTTGGGGGTGTAGGTCATTGCACCTTGTGCGCTTAAGCGTTGGGGCGAGCGCTTTTGACAACCTTGGGCCAATGTATGTTGTTGGACAAAGAATCTTTCACAACATTTGATCCATGAAAAGAGGTCGCTCCTACCAATCATGTGCATAGTTGTGAGACCGGCACATTGCCCCACGCAAAGTACATTAGACATTGTACAAAAAGCAAGAGGCAAAAAAGGTCTTTAAGCACATTGTTGTTTTTTATGATAATGGCATTCCTTTCAATGCAGCAAACTCTAGGAGCTATGAGATCATGGTGGAGTCAATTGGGTAATTTATACCAGGACTTGAACCTCCGGGTTATCATGAGTTGCGTGTGCCACTTCTTGAAAAAGAAGAGAAAGAGACGGAAGAATTGAGAGAGCAACATGAGGTTGTTTGTGAGGAATACGGGTGCACACTTATAATTGATGGATGGAGTGATCGAAAGAATCGACACTTGATAAATTTCTTTGTCAATAATCCAAAAGATACTTTTTTTCTAGACTCGGTTGATGTATCAAGTGAATCTCAATATGCAACATTGCTAGCAGGTTTGCTTGAGAGACAAATTGAAAAAGTTGAAAAAGACAAAATAAACAGTGGCTCTAACTATGGGGCTGCGGGAAAGCTTCTAGAGCACAAGATATCCACACTTTATTGGACTACATGCGATGCGCATTGCTTGAGTTGGAGGATATCGGGAAATTATCCGATTTCAAGTCCCACAATTAAAAAGCAAGACGTGTGACTAATTTCACTTATCGGCATACGAGGATCCTCCATTCAATAAGACAAAAGATCAATGGGAAGGACCTTGAGCTACTAGATTTGCAACTGATAGAAGCAGAAAACCCTAGCAGACGATATTAACTTATGCCCCAGCCTTAGACTTAAACCAAATCTTTATTCTCGATAATGAATAATAATCCCTAAGACCTCCTTAAATACTCTTAACCTAATAATCCAAAAATAACTCAAATAGAAATAACAATTAAATGAAATAAACTCCAGCAGTCAGCCTAGCCCAGCCCAATTAGGCTCGCTGACGGAGACGGTAAACTAATAATGGGCGAGGCCCGTCCTCTTGAAACATCGACTCTAAGTTACTAACGAACACTCACTAGTGTCATAAACAAAAATACAATATATGCACTTATATTAATAATAATAAAAAATACTTTCTTCGTCCGTTATAATTGTGCCAAGGTTGATGACACGAGGAATAATAAAATAAGAATTGTGTGGTTAAAGTTTGTACATACGAGAGAGAAATAATAGGACCCACAAATTAATTAATTTCACTTATCGGCATACGAGGATCCTCCATTCAATAAGACAAAAGATCAATGGGAAGGACCTTGAGCTACTAGATTTGCAACTGATAGAAGCAGAAAACCCTAGCAGACGATATTAACTTATGCCCCAGCCTTAGACTTAAACCAAATCTTTATTCTCGATAATGAATAATAATCCCTAAGACCTCCTTAAATACTCTTAACCTAATAATCCAAAAATAACTCAAATAGAAATAACAATTAAATGAAATAAACTCCAGCAGTCAGCCTAGCCCAATTAGGCTCGCTGACGGAGACGGTAAACTAATAATGGGCGAGGCCCGTCCTCTTGAAACATCGACTCTAAGTTACTAACGAACACTCACTAGTGTCATAAACAAAAATACAATATATGCACTTATATTAATAATAATAAAAAATACTTTCTTCGTCCGTTATAATTGTGCCAAGGTTGATGACACGAGGAATAATAAAATAAGAATTGTGTGGTTAAAGTTTGTACATACGAGAGAGAAATAATAGGACCCACAAATTAATTAATTAATTAATTAATTAATTAATTAATTAAAACAGAAATTTTCAAAGTTTTTGGGACGATCAAAAACGGAAAGATGACGGAGTTATAAGGGGCGAAGGGAGTATAGCTTAAACTTGTACATTAAAATCAAAAATAAGTTTTTCAATACGTCTTGATAAATTAAAACTAGACATGAGAGCGCGAGAATCCAACTAGAAGAAAACATTAGCCGTAGAAGAAAAATATACAATTCACAAAGAAGTGGAGAAGAGGTGTGTAGCAAGGAGTGGTCGTTCTTGTCTCAGACTGGTCATCAAAGATGTCATGAGACGCAACACTAGTCATCAGAGATGCAGCACCACATTCTTTTGATGTAGGATGGGCTTTAGAAGGCTTTACTTAAATTCCTAATTTACTCATTTAATACCTATGAAAACCAAAACTATTCCAGAAAACCTAAATGTAGCACCAGAGATGCAGCACCACATTCTTTTGATGTAGGATGGGCTTTAGAAGGCTTTACTTAAATTCCTAATTTACTCATTTAATACCTATGAAAACCAAAACTATTCCAGAAAACCTAAATGTGGCGCATAAAATTTGAGAAGTAGCGCTGTTACAACATCCATGAGACCGCAACACTCAAATGATCCACTATAGTGGGTCTTGTAGCAAGCTACTACTCTACTATAGTGGGTCATGTAGCGCGCTATTGACTTCACTGCCAGTGATGCTCTTCGATCTTAAACGACAGCAGCGAACAAGAAATGAGGATGCTGTGATCCTCCGTAGTGCTTACTCTAATGGAAGTCGATATGCTCCTCTAAGTCCTATTGAAATAATGGATTAATATTTGTGTTGGAGACATTTTTTGCAGACGCATAGTAGTACATATTTCTTCATCTCCTATTGTTTTATGAGTGCACCCAATACTGCAACTAAACAATTTCAGATAAAGCTTTAAGCACATGTATTATAGAGAACTCATCGCGGTACAGTGATAGCAAAGCTCTCAGAATAATTGGTTACAGGTTTCCACGGTGTAACTCCGCCATGAGATCATTTATTTTGGTATCATGCATGTCTCAAGCCAAGATAAAGGAGGAAGGTGTTGTGGTAGGCGCGTGACGGTCAACGGTATCACTTAGTCACATCACATGACATGAATTGAAATATGAATATCGTTACGGCTAGGTCGTCTCCCATAAGCGACGTGTCATTCCTCTGCCTGAGGTGGTGTCAAATGAGCAAGGGCGCGCTACACTTCATAGGCCTGGGCGTAGTGATAAGAATGCTAAGGCTGCTAGGTCGTCGCCCGGAAGCGACGAGCTAGTCCAATGCTCGGGGATGGTGTCGAATATGCAAGGGCGTGGTGGGGGTCGATGTGATGTGAAGAAGAGAAGGCAGGGTGCTAGATTGCGTTTTGGGACATGGAATGTTGGCTCTCTTACGGGAAGATCATCTGAGATAGTCGAGGTTATGAAAAGGAGGAATATCAGCATAATGTGCATGCAAGATACTAAGTGGGTTGGAGAAAAGGCACGTGAAATCAATCCCGAAAGCTTCAAACTGTGGTATTCGGGGAGAGAGAAACAGAAATGGAGTAGGCAGTATGGTGGCGCATTATTATGTTGAGGGTGTGGTTGAAATCCTTAGGAAGAACGATCGCATCATGAGCATTAAGTTGATAATAAGACATGAGATCGTGTCCGTGGTAAGTGCATATGCACCACAAGTGGGATTGGATGCATCTATCACTCAACAATTTTGGGAAGATCTTGAGAAAGTGGTACAACAAGTGTCAAGGGAAGAGAAGTTGGTCATATGAGGTGACCTCAACGGGCATGTGGGCCCAAATCGTGATGGTTTTGAGAGTATCTACGACGGACACGGTTTTGGCACTAGAAATGAAGCGGGGAAGAAAATTCTGGATTTTGCCTCGACATATGAGTTGGCTGTGATGAACATTTGGTTCAATAAAAGAGACTCTTACTTTTTTCCCCTACTTGTCTGCCTTCTTTGTTTGGCATCGATATAATAGATCGATTCATGTTAGCCGAACCCAAATTCTTTTGGGATTAAGGCTTGGATGTTGTTGTTGTAGGTTTCCACGGTGTGTTGGGTACGAAAAATATTGTGTTATGAATAACATATAGTGTACCATTATTATTACGGAACCATGTCAGCTTTGAATGCCTACATAGCAAGCTACTCAACGCCAAGTAAGAAGCAAACACAATGGTAAACCTTTTCAAAAGTACAGATTTTTATAGGCTTGAGGGTTCAATTCAAGTTTTCTAAGTATAGAGGTCTGATTGCACTATCCCATCTAGTTTGTGGGCTTATTTGGCCCTCATCACCCCCCCCCCCCAAGGAAAGAGAAAAATCACCACTAGAACATCTTCTTTGCTACTTCATAAAATTGAGCAAGGGATGAGAATTTATCTTGGGATATTTTCCAAAATATGAACAAACATGTCACTCTTATTTAGGGCTATTTCTTATTTATCTTTTACCTTCCCAATGAGGTGAAGTTGTCGTGCCACGGGTTCCATAAACTTCAAATCCATCACAATAGGCCATACCTGCACAAACCCATGGGCTTTTTTCTTTACACCGTCTTATTTGAGGAGAAAATGGAAAAAATTGATGCTTCTTAATTAACTCTCACAGTTCTTAAGAAAAAAGACAAATCAAGATAAATTGTGAATCAAAATGAACCTGAACTATGTTTAAGCTAGGTTTCAATCAATTGCCTCATGCTCCATATTACTTAAAACTGTACAAAAATGGACTGATTCAAAAGATCATTACTGCTGACACTGAAAAAACATGAATAGACCAAGCTGAAATGTGAATTTAAAAAAATCAAAGAAAAATCCAACTGTGCAGCTCAATATATTTAGCATACACTGAGACAAATAGGGCAAAAGGATTTATTAATGAAGAGCGAGGGAAGAAAGGACCTTAAGACCAAGTAATTTGATGGGTACAGTCTGTCCTGGGATGATGCATTCCGGTCCAGCTGCCTCCACTATGGCCGCCATTCCTAGCCCACCCCCAATTGGATCAGGGTGCTGCATTTTTTCGAATCTTTTCAAAATACCTACCACTGACAACGGAACATAAGATAAACTAAAAGTTAAATAATCACACCTTCATCACGGAAAGGGCATAGTCGGAATAGGGGGTTTGAGTGATGCGAATGAGTGGAGAGTGGTGGATTTTGGGGATGGGTCTAGCAGTAGCGGCGGCCCTCCACGGCGCATCTTTGTGTAAAGGCGCGCCTCTAGACATTGATCAAAGAGGGTTGGATCAGCACCGTCTTCTGATCTTTCTAGGTGTTGTAGATGTGTAGAAGAATTTAGAACTTTGTTTTTGGAATGGAATTGGGGATTTGATATGCGTGCTGTATAGGGCACTTATAGTACCGAAAAATACCTTAATTTTGATATACCCTCATTTTCGGTACGGTATCATACTGTATCGATTTATTTCGGTACGGTAACGGTAATGTTTTCAAATATCGCAGTATAACGGTATAATACCGTATCGATTCTCTACCCAACAATTATTACTTGGGTGAATTCCCCAAATAGGAGTAAAACATGGGTAAAATGCAAAAATAAGAGTATCATGTTTTGAATAGCAGTAACATTAGTGTTTGGACAAGTATACCCCTACCCAAACTCCAAGCTCCAACAAATTTCATTAATAATTAAAACATAAAAGAAATACTCCGTAAGATTAATTAATTGTAAAAAAACACAAAAAATATCAAATAAAATATACTCCGTATTAAATAAAATAAAAAATTATTAAAATAAAAAGTAAAAAATAAAAAACTAAAAAAAATTAAAAAAATGAAAAAAATATAAAAAAAATATGTAGGCGTCTGCCGCCGCCTCAACAACCTCCTAACACCACCAACTCCGACCATCGAAAAAATGCCAACATTTTCCTGAAATGCCATCAAGATGACAGATTTTGAGAAAATTTGGCATTTTCAAAGAGTAAAACTGCCATCTTTATGGCATTTCAAAAAAATGACAGTTTTTACATAAAATGGCATTTTTTCGCTGATCAGAGGTGACATTGCTGGGTGATGACCGAGGATGCGGGAGAGGCCTGCATAATTTTTTTATATTTTTTAATGCAGTTTATCTATTTTTTATTTATTTTTAAAAATTTTTTATTTTTACAAAAATAAATTTTTTAATATTTAATACTTTAATATTGCCGGGATGAATTTAGATCATTTTTAAAATTAAATTGCTTGCATAAATGTTTCATTTCCGGTGAATGAACTTAGATTTTTTTAATAGGATCAAATAAGTTATATTTTAGAATTAACTAAGTTAGGGATATTAAGGGTACAAAATTAATGTTTACTCCTAATGAAGGAAGTTTTAAGTTTTACTCCTATTTGTGCAATTATGTTTATGTTTACTCCTATATTGGGCAATTTCTCTTATTACTTTTAATTCTAGAGTATTGTAAAACTCCATTACAATTATGAAGCCCAAAATTAATACTTACATTGGTTACAAATCTCTGATGACTCATTAGTAATGTACTAATGTCCAAAAACAAGTTCATCTTGTTCCAAGAGCTTGCGAGTTGCGATGACTGAGTCGCTGAGTAGCTGATGAGTGGAGAGAGGTACACTTATGTGACGGATTCCACGAGTCGAGACACACAACTTTGTCTGAAAGTCTTGTTCATTTTTTTAAATGTAAAAATGACTAAATGCACAATATCATACTACCTCCATCCCAAAATGATTAGTCAAATCCAAAACTTTGATGATTAATATATATTTATTGGAAATTATTTATAGCATAAAAGTTATATGAAAATGTTCTTTGTTAAAAGTACTTTCATAAAAGTATAAAATTTATAACTTTCATAATATTATACTAATCAAAACCATGGTCCAAATTTTAAGATTTGGCTAAACATTTTGGGACAGAGGTAGTATTAGGAATAAATGATTTTATATCCATGTTGTTTGAATAATTTTATTTATTATTGTTAGAAGAGATCACTATTGATTTAATTATATCTATATCGTTCAAGTTATTTTAGGAGAATGTGTTGTTTATTAATAAGTGGCACGTTGAATTGCTTAAATATACTAATAATAATTATTGTTCAATATTGAGTATGACATCAATAGATTATTAATTATATTTGTAAAATTTTAATAATGAAATAAATATGTCACTAGTAACACCGATTTAGCATATTTCGTTAGTCTATGATAATTTGTTGTATTGGGAGACATGCATGGTAATTTACCGATATTGTACCGTTATCGAACCGAAACTTCGATATACCGAAATGCGGTATACCGAAACTTCGGTAAGGTAACGGTATATAAATTTTGCATACCGAAAGTTTTGGTACGGTAAAGATATGAGAGAAAATATTCGGTATACCGTACCGAACCACCCCTATGCGTGCCTGGTAGAGATTCAAAAGTCAAAACCCGCTCACGTAAATATTGGGGCCTTGATCTTTTAGCATTCACCCGTGGGATGAATTATGAAAATAATAAATAACTATTTTAAAATATATTTTATTAATAAAATAAAGAAAAAAATATATAAAAAATAGCTAAAATGTTCATCTATCATAACTTTAGCAAAAAAATGGCTCCAACTTTACTTGTTTTGGTGAACAAATTTACTGATAAACCGGAGAAAAAATTCACATGAAAAAGAATCAATGAAAATGAAAAAACATTGTGAACTGTTTTTTATACTTTAAAAACTTAGGCATCTCCAATACAAATATGCATTGTAGTTCAACCTCATCAATTCCATTTCTGAAATATAAATGTCACATCCAATGCAAAATAAAATAGACCAAGCCTAGTTGACATGGCAATAGAAAAAATAGACTAAGGTCTAGGACGAGGTCCATTTGGCGGTGTCACCATCTATACTCATTACAACTTTTCTCTTTCTTATTAAATTTTTCTTGCTTTTGAATTGGAGTATTATTTTGATAGACCCTCCCTTTTAGTTAAAGTTTGACTCACATATGTAGACCCTATCTTCAATCTGCCACTTCATCACCAATACATTAAGACCAATGAAGATGCTCTTATTAAACCAAATTCAGTACCCATGGATTGGTTTATAGTAAATACATAAATTCTGATAAGCCTCCACCCTTTCAAAATAATCTGATACACCAAAAATAGAGATTACAACAACACAATTTCTTCACTTGTAAAAATCTAATTTTTATATAATTGCAAAATCCACTTTATTAAACCCAAAATCACATACTCACATATACTCCGTATATGTGGAATAGGCCCACACATATACTCTGTATATGTGGAATAGACCCACTTTATCAAAATCCACTTTATTTTAAAAATAGGCCCACACCTATTTACTATGTGGAATGCACAAAACTCAATAACTCATGTGATGGCAACTTCTGAAAGTTCGGCCGACTCTATCCCACTTGTTAAAACCGACTACAAACCCACCCCTTCTACATTAACCTTATCCAAAAATTTTAGAGTCGGCTATTAATTCGTCGGAATCATAAATCCTTCTCCTTTCATCCCCGGAAAAATCAACCACAACTGCCGCAAACATCATTCGCTGATTCCCAGCCTCCTTCGAGGGTATTATATAAACGTGGAGATTTGTGCAATTCATATATTCGTTAAAGTTCTGTTCGATCTTCAAAATTGTAAGTCTATTTTAGATTTTTCGCTATCTTTTTAAAATATAGATATGTTTTTTTATCTATTTACATGTTTGTCGAGGATCCTCTAGCAATATAATTGAAATCGCTTATTCCTCTTTGGGGCATCTAATATGAACACCCAGAGATATGAGCAAACACTCTCTTCTTTCTACGGTTGCAATTTGTGTGGTCTAACTTGTTTAATTTTAGGTCATGTGTGTGTTGACAATGTTTTGAAACTCCAAACAACATGAGGCTTTACATAGTGTTGCATATCAAGTTTTTGACTCACTTTGTAAAACAATTTTTGTCCATCCTCTACAGTTCGTCCATGGTTCTAGTTCTAGTTCTTCTTCTTCTTTTCAGAAGAGTTCTCTCTAGAATTCATCTTCTTAGGCTGTTCTGACCCAGCACGCTTCTTCCTTGGTTGCTTTTCTAACACTAGCTTTTTGGAGGGCTCAGTGATAGTCTTTTTCTTGGTTGGGGCAACAGAGATGGGTTTCTTCTTTTGAGGAACTGCTTCATCATCCTTCCTTTTATTGAACTTTTTGTCTCTCTTCAGTTCTGTTTGTTGATCTCTTTTGAGCTCAGCTTCAAGTGCTATCAAACGATTAGGAGAGGCATTTAAGAAAAGCACCTTTCTATAGTTAACCTGAGATGTATTTCTGAGTTCCACTCTAGAAATTTGCATATATTCAGAAAGAAAGAGACCATGACCCACTTTAGTAGAGAATACAGAAGTTTTCTTATCCTTCTTCTTGATAAATTCTACTACTGATATGACAACCACCAGGCCCCAGTCAATGTTCATCACATGATGTGTTGCAAAGATTGTTTGAACATTTGGTATGGTTACATCATCGGTTGATCCACTCTTGCACCACAAACATTTGTGCAGAATGTTGACCAGCTTCTCATAGTCCTTTTTTCAAGAAATACTTTTCGAGTCTCAATTTGTCAATGTCTTCGACGTCTGGTCTGCAATAGGTCTCAGCAAATGCAGTTGTATCCATGGTGATGTAATTTAGGTTGACAAGAGCATGTGTCTCTTCCTCCTGTGCATCCACAGTGATATCAAAGAACTAGTTGACGGTGTTGGTCCTGTTTATACAAGAATCTGTCTAGAGGGGGGTGAATAGACTGTTCTCGTTTTTATCTTTTTCTGGTCTAAGTACCAGACTTAACAGAATAGTCAGTTCTACAAAAGAATTGACTGGTGGCGGATAGGTTTTCTAGTAGGGTATTCTGGTCAGGTAGTAGCCTTCCAAAAACATTAAGGCAGTTGCCTTTCTGTTAGCTCCTAAGGCGAGATTTGTTGAACACATAGTCCAAGCCTTTTAGAGATAAACAATTAGAATCTAGAGAGAATTCCCAATATGGGAGTTAAACATAGAAAATATGCAAAAACTAGGAGTCCTATGAGTTACTTATGTTTCATACGGAAGTTTTAATAGAAACTGACCAAAGTACCCTTAATGATGAAATCCTATTTTGTTTAATCTATTTATCAACTCACACATACATATAAAACAAATTACACATGTGTATAGCCTATTCTCAACATATCACCGCACCAGATGTGGTGCTGGACTATCACCTCTTGTTCAGCCACCACCGTCGGACGCAACTGCCGCCGGACGCAGCTGCCTCCGGACGCCGGACGCCACCGCCGTCGAATGCAAGATGCCACCGCCGGCATCG